TCTCCAGCTCCGCGAGCGGTTCCAGTCGGACTTTCCTGTCCTGCGTCTGCACTCTGACAGGGGTGGTGAGTTCTCCTCAGACCTCTTGGCAGCCTTCTGTGCGGAGCACGGCATCCGCCAGACGTTCACGCTTCCGGCCTCTCCGCAGCAGAATGGGGTTGCTGAGCGCCGCATTGGCTTAGTCATGGAGGTCGCTCGTACCTCCATGATCCATGCGGCTGCCCCCCATTTTCTGTGGCCGTTTGCGATCCGGTACGCCGCGCATCAGCTCAACCTCTGGCCCCGTGTCTCCTTGCCGGAGACCTCGCCCACACTGCTGTGGACGGGGAAGGTTGGCGATGCGTCGCGTTTCCGGGTCTGGGGTGCTCGTGCCTTTGTCCGCGATACCACCGCGGACAAGTTCTCTGCTCGCGCCATTCCCTGCGTCTTCCTTAGCTTTGTCCATGACGCGCCTGGCTGGCAGTTTTACGACCCAGCCTCGCGCCGTGTCTTTCCGTCTCAGGACGTCACCTTTGACGAGTCCGTCCCCTTTTACCGTCTCTTTCCCTACCGCACTGCCCCTCGCCCCCCCCCGCCGCTCTTTCTCGCCCCAGGTCCTCCCCAGGTAGACCCCCTCCTCGCGCCAGGTCCCGCTACTTCAGGTGTTTCTCAGGTAGACCCTCCCGTGCCTGCGCCTGTTGAGGTCACTGGTGACTCTGGTCCTGCTGGGGGTGGTGCTGTCTTTGGGGGTGCTGGGCCTGGGGGTGTGGAGCATGGGGGTGCTGAGCTTGGGGGTGCGGAGCTTGGGGGTACTGAGCCTGGGGGTGCGGAGCCTGCACGTGAGGAGCCTGGAGGTCCTGAGCCTGGGGGTGCTGTATCTGGAGGTGCTGAGCCCGAGCGTGAGGAGCCTGGTGGTACTGAGTCTAGGGGTGAGACACCTGAGGGTTCTGAGTCTGCTACTGCGCGGTCTCCTTGGAGTAGCCGCCTTCGTCCGCGTGTGCCTCTCACCTCACATCAGCTGCACGACTGGTACGGTCGCCGTCAGGGTCGAGCTTCTGGAGCTCGGGGCTCTACTGCTGGAGGTTCTTCTGCTGACGTCACTGGAGCTAGGAGTGGTACTGGTCCCGGAGGTGCTCGTACTGGAGGTACTGGAGCTGCTGGGGCTGGAGGTGCTGCTGAGCCTGAGGGTGCTACTACTGGAGACCCTGGGTCTGGGGGTGCTGCTGCTGGAGACACTGAGGCTGGAGACCCTGGGACTGGAGGTGCCGGTTCTGGGGGTGCTGCTGTTGGTGGAGCTGGTCCTGGAGGAGCTGACGCTGAGGGTTCTGGGGCTGCTGGAGGTGCTGGAGCTGCTGGGGGTACTGGAGCTGCTGGTGCTGGTGTCACTGCACAGCCGCGCCTGTTCTTTGCTCCACCGTCTCCGTCGTCTCAGCCACCGTCTGACTCTGTGCTTCGCCAGGTTCTTAGTCTCCCTTCGTCTACTGGTCTTCCGTTACAGCCTGGCTCACCGCTGCCTGCTCCTTCTCCTTACACTGAGCAGACAGGGGGTCTTACTGAGCGTCGTGTGCCTGCGTCGCGTCCTGTCTCGCCTGTCCGTTCTGGTCGTCGTGTTCCTCGTCCGCGTCAGTCGGCTGTCCCCGACACCCACCTCGTAGTCCGTCGTCCTTCCTCTCCTCCGCAGCGTGTTCCTCTGCCGTCTCCTCCTACGTCTTCTCTGCCTGTTGTTCCGGACCCTGAGTCTGATCGATTTCGTGTTGAGCACCCTACTGTCACGCGTCTGCTAGCCACAGTTGTCACTGACCCGTCGTTTGAGTCTGCTGCTGCGTCTGCCTTTGTCGCAGAGCTGGTTGACTTTGCTGCTGCCTGTCGTCTAGACTATGCTGCTAGTCTTGTTGCTGAGTCTGAGTCTGTCTGTCCTCCTTCCGTCGGGGGTGAGTGTGCTCTTGGCACGGACGTCCTTGAGGATAGACAGGAGGACCTTGAGTGTCTTGCGGCCGCTGCACCTCATCTCGTGGCCATGCTGCTTGCCCCTGAGGGAGACCCGGATGCACCAGACATCCCGACCCCGCGCTCTTACGCTGAGGCGATCGCGGGTGAGTACTCCTCTCTGTGGCAGACAGCCATGGACGCAGAGATGGCATCCTGGAAGTCCACAGGCACCTACGTTGACAAGGTTCCCCCTCCTGGGGCGAACATCGTCGACGGCATGTGGATTTTCAGGGTGAAGCGGCCGCCAGGTTCTCCGCCTGTCTTCAAGGCTCGTTACGTTGCTCGAGGCTTCAGTCAGCGGGAGGGAGTTGACTTCTTTCAGACTTTCTCCCCCACCCCGAAGATGACCACTCTTCGGGTGTTGCTGCACGTTGCCGCTCAGCGTGACTACGAGCTTCACTCCCTTGACTTCAGCACAGCTTTCTTACAGGGCAGCCTGCACGAGGAGATCTGGCTGCGCCGCCCACCTGGCTTCACTGGGTCGTTCCCTCCTGGTACCCAGTGGAGCCTCCGGCGGCCGGTCTACGGTCTCCGCCAGGCGCCACGTGAGTGGCACGACACACTGAGGACGACACTTGCGGCTCTTGGGTTTCCTCCTTCGACTGCTGACCCGTCGCTGTTTCTGCGCACCGACGCTTCGCTGCCGCCGTTCTACATCCTCGTGTACGTCGACGACTTGGTCTTTGCCACTGCTGACACGGAGGCTCTCGCCCTGGTGAAGTCGGAGCTGCAAAAGAGACACACGTGCACAGATCTGGGTGAGCTGCGCAGTTACCTTGGCTTGCAGATCACCCGGGACAGAGCACGCCGCACCATCACGCTGACTCAGTCACACATGGTGCAGCAGGTCATTCAGCGCTTCGGCTTCACCTGGTCCTCGGCACAGGCCACTCCTCTGGCTACAGGTCACTCGCTCTCAGCTCCACCTTCGGACGAGTCCGTAGAGCCGAGTGGTCCTTACCCAGAGCTAGTTGGCTGCCTCATGTACCTGATGACCTGCACTCCTCGTGACCTTGCGTACCCTCTTGGCCTTCTGGCTCGCTACGTGGCTCCTGGTCGGCACCGAAAGGTGCACATGGATGCTGCTAAGAGGGTACTACGCTACTTGTGCAGTACATCGGGCATGGGGCTCGTGCTTGGAGGACGGGGCGACGTTGTCCTCACTGGTCACTCGGACGCTTCTTGGGTTGACGACCAGGCTACGCAGCGGTCGTCACAGGGTTACACCTTCAGTCTTGGCTCTGGCTCTGTTTCTTGGCGGTCTACGCGCTCGTCTTCTGTTCTCAGCTCCAGTTGTGAGGCGGAGATCTACGCCACAGCCATGGCTGCACAGGAGTTACGCTGGCTCACCTACCTGCTGACCGACTTGGGAGAGAGGCCTCGTTCTCCTCCAGTTCTGTACGTCGACAACAAGGCAGCCATTGCCTTGTGTCAGGAGCACAGACTGGAGCACAGAACGGAGCACATCGCTCTGCATTACTTCCTGACTCGAGAGTTGCAGCAGCGGGGTCAGCTTCGTCTTGCTCACGTGGCCACTCGGGCCAACACTACTGATATATTCACGAAGGCACTTCTGTCTGGTGATCATCAACGCTTTTGTACTTTGTTGGGCCTTGTGCCTACGTTTCCACACTTGCTGTAGACTCTGCTTATACTCTGATCTATATATATATACCTGCATGCTTGCTCTTGCTAGATAGAGATCACTGCACTGTTCTTGTTGCATATATACATCTGCATGTGAACTGGCCTTGTGACCTGTTGCTTGTGCTCAGTGTGTGTGGTGACGTTGTGATCCACCCTGAGCTTGCTTTGGTTTTCTTGACTGGTCTTGTGACCTCTTTCTCTCCCCCACTTTGCCTATGGGGGTGTGTCAAAGATATGCATATGTTATATTTGTGGGTAGGCTGTAGTGGGGTAGATACTGTGGGGTATAACCCCTTAGGGTTTTCTCCTTGTACCAATTCTCTCGATAGTCAACTTCACTCATGCCTAGATTCTAAGAGTAGTATCAATTGGTTTTTTGTGTGTGTTTTTTTTTTACGTCGTGACATATTTTGGTGGCATATGGATATGTTGTGTGAGTTGGTGAAACTTCTTGTTCCAATTTAAAGGATACATTCCAGTTATAGGTATACATGCCTGTTTCATTTTACCATTGAGATGGCGTTTTTAGGCGGGAACGTGGTTGCATATCTTGGTGGAACGCGAATTTCAAAAATTTCCCGCCATTACCTCCATCGTGGTGCTGGCGGCGAATGCTGTCAACTCTCGTGAATTTGCGAGCCGGATCAGCCAAGCACTTTTGCGACGGGTAACAGTTCGAGTCTGGGGTAACACTTCTTTCATGCGTCGATAACAACAGTTCCCCTGCAATTCCACCCCTGCCACCTCCAGACCACCTCGATAAAAAGGCGTAGCGGAACCCAACGTCTGGTGTTCACAGCCAAACCTAGTGGTTTATTTAAACTGTACCATTTCCCAAGTCGAGGGTCTGCATTCCCAAAATTTCGTTTCTAAATTTCCAGGTCGAAGAGCTTTGTGGTGGTGAAGTGCCCCACGGGCCACCCCAACACCCTACCCCCACATCTTCCCGCACGCCCAGCCACGATCCGCTCTCGGCCTCTTCTAAGCCAATCAAAGCGTCGCATCGCCAGTTCGCGCCAAATTCTGCATCTCTTCCTTGACAGTAATTTCCCCCCTTCCATTGTCCCCCTCTCCCCCACCCACTCCAGAAGCCCCTCTCTCCCGCCACCACCAACCCATCCCCCGTGACCCTTCCCCTTCGTCACTCCCTTCTTGCTCCCTCCCTCCTCCCCCATCCCAATCCCAAGCTGTCATTCTTCCTCCCCCCCCCCCCCCCCACCCTTACAACCTCGATTTGCCCCTGCCTGTCACATGCAATTATCACTTTCGCCCGGTATCTACGCCCCTTGGCTGCCTACCAAACGCGAGATATCGATCTGTTGATCCTTTCTATACCGTGGAGCACGTCAGAGATACTCTCCTAACAACCCTCCGCCCTTCACGCCATGGCTGCCGCGACCTCCAGGTCGCTGCTGCCACCAGCATTGCGCTGCGGCTCACCCTCAGCCCCAGCCACACTCGCGGCAACCGAACCAGTTCACAGACTAGGATGCCTCAAGAGCCGCCCACTTTCGGTTCCCGCTCCCGCGCGCACATGCCTTTTCACGTCTCTCCGTCTTCCTCCTTCCCCCATTGCTGCGATTGGCAACACCAAATCCGCCGACGACGCGGACTATGGAAAAGCTAAAGAAACCGCCGTCGCAGGCCATTTTATAAAGTCTGTTATCATTGCGACGGCGCCGCTTGGCGCGCTCCTGCTGACATCCGGCCCTGCGTCCGCGTTTTCCGGCAGCCATGCGTACGGTGGTCTTGGCCAAGGCGAACTAGGCTGGTCTGAGTCGCTCCCGACCAATGCTGGAGGAGGTGGAGGAGGCGGCGGCGGACAAGGCGGCAGCGGCGGCGGCGGCGGCGGAGGCGGGAGTGGTGGTCCAGGTGGATCACAACGGCCTGGAACCGACTACTCCAAAGACCTGAATGATGATGATGATGATGATGTGGACGAGGCAGACAACCCGGACGGCATTTCCGAACCAGTGAGCCGAGTCGACAAGAGCGGTAGCGCCGTTCGCGCCGCCTCTGCAGATGCCGTTGCGAGGGATGCTTCTGGCGGCAAAGCGTCACAGGAAGGCCGCGAAGCGGCGTGGCGAGAGTTCCCGAAGCGCCGATCCAGCAGCCGCCGACGTCACGGCGCAAGCGGGAACGGCGGCGCCGGTGCCACGCTGCTGAACTCTTATCCCCCGGACGTGCTCTTCGCGTCGCTCTCCGCCGTCGCCGGCTCCGCCGGCCGCGCCGGCGCCGGCGGCGACGACAGCGCTACCGCGGCCAGCGCCGGAGGGGGAGGCAGCAGCTCTGCGGGCGGCTTGAGCAGCGGAACGATCAGCAGCAGGCGGAGGCGGCCGGACGACGAGCGCATGCGTCGCGCGGACGGCATGTTTGATTGGATGGCGGGGCTGCTGCACTCGATGCTCGCGTCGCGCCTCGACGGCATGCAAGACCGCGTGGACCGGCAAGCGCTGATGGCGGAGACGGCGGACCTCGTCGTGCAGATACTCGACAAGCGTTCCGCGGACGACGCCTTTGCGCACCGGTCGGAAGTAAGCGCGCTCCGCCGGCTGCAGCGCGAGGCGTTTCAGGACCTTCTGCGCGTGAAGGACCGCCTCCACCGCCTCGAGTTCCTCTCCGGAGTGCGCCAGTCCCCCGACAGCCGCTCCCCGCGCCCCTCCGCGGGGTCCGTGTATTCCGCCTCCGCCGCAGCCTTCGGCGCGACCGCGGGCGCGTTTGGCACGGGAATTGCGGGGATCGGCGAGGAGAGCGGCGTGTGGGGCGGGCTTGGTACGGGCGCGGGGAGCGTGCTGGGCGGAGCGGGGCGGACTCGCCTGCACGGGGAGATCGCGGCGGGCGGAGCGTTCGTTCCGACGGAGGGCGCGCGCAGCCACAGCACGCGCGCGGCGCTAGAACAGGCGGGCATGCGATCGGGACTGACGGTGAAGTTCAGATTCGATACGACCTGCCGCGACGACGATCTCCTGTCGACTGAGCTGACGGCCGGCCTAGGAGAGGACAGCAGCAGCTTTATGCTGGGCGGCCCTGTTAACATTCATAAGATCCTCTACAGTACTAAGTTATGCGACGGCGTGCAGCTCGCCGTGGCGCCTTTAGGAGCCGTTGGGTCGGACATGGCGGAAGGCATGAATCCTCTCAAGGACCAGGGCCTCACGCGCTTCTCGTCCGGCGGAATTTCCCTGCACCGCCGCGCAAGGGGCTCCGCGCTCGCGTTCTCGCTGCGCAACTCCGCCGCCTCGTTCACCGCCGCGCAGTTCCTCTCCGGCTGGGGCGTTTCGCAGGACCCCGAGGGGGAATCCGCGGGGCTCTGCGCGTCGTCGCTGGCGCAACTATCCCTCCAGCCTCAGGACAACGTCGTTCTCTCCATGTCCGCGCTCAACCGCCTCTGGCCCTCCCCGCCGCTTCCCTCCGCCACGGGGCTGCACTGGAGTGAGATGGGCCCGCTCGTGGTGCCGAAGCTGCTGCCGTGGCTCGGCAAGCTGAAGAAGGCAGGCTCGGGGCGAAGCGCGGGGAGCGGGGACGGGAGCTCTGGGATGGGCGGAGCGGAGAGCAGCAGCGGGGTGGTGGGGCAGGAGCTGTGGCTTCCGCCGGATCAGGAGCCCGCGACTATGGTGCAGTCGGTGGCGGTGTCGGGCGCGGTGCAGCTCGGTGCGGCGACTATTGCGGCATGGGCGCAGGCGGAGAACGGGGACTGCTTGGACGAGGACGCGCGGAGGAAGCTGCAGTGGTCCGTGTCTCTGTTGATGCAGGGGAAGGGCAGGGCGGAGGACGAGGGTGGGAATGGCGGCACTGGCGGAAGCAGTGCGAACGGGACAGGCGGAAAAGCCGGTGGGGGGAAGGGTAAGAAGGGGAAATGGACGGACAGGATTTCGCTGGGGGCGTGCATCGGGGGCACGCAGCCAGATGCGTTTTTTCTGGGAGGCGGGGCGGAGTCCAGCAGCACGGGGATGGTGGGGGGGGAGAGCGGGGAGGGGAACGAGGGGGGCGCGGCGGGCGCGGGGCAGGTGCAGGCGGAGGCGTTTATGCGGGTGAAGTGCGGGAGAGGGCTGGTGCTGCAGCCGGGGGTGGTGGTGGCGCAGAATGAGAGGACTGGGCGGCACACTGCGTTCATGCTTAGGTCATCCTGGGCCCTCTGAGAGAGGTATAGTGTTTTCGGGAAAGTTCCATGGGGGTTGGGAAGGGAAGGAAAGGGGGAAAATGGGGGCTGTTGAGGGGAGGAGGGAATGCGTGTGTTATGGTAGTGTGTTCAAAATGGGTACAGGGTGTGGTGTGCTCATGGGCAGTGCATCAAGGGTGCATTGTTCAGGGACAGTGGAAATGAGCAGGCTTGTGTGTGTGTGTGTGTGTGGGTGGCTGTGTGCAAGTATGTGTGCGTTCATGTGCGTGCATGCGTGAGACTGCATTTATATGTGTGCATGTATGTGTACGTATTAGGGGCGAGTAAGTGAGGAGGGTTGGTAGGTGGAGGAAGGAAGGTTCTGGTGAGACTGGATTTCATTGAGCTTGCTGCTTCTACTGTTGTTTTATCTCTCATGGCTATTTCTTGCACCACTGCAGGAACTATGAAACTAGTCTACAGGGGTGGTTCAATCCTGACTCCACCCTCTTTCTGCTTCATCGAAATAACCACGATGGAGCAGCCTCACCTAGGAGCTCTAACTTCAACACGTGAAATGGTGCAGGAATTTTTGTTTTCTAACTGCTCTCTTAGGTTGTGAAAACATAATGTATCAACTAGTCTGGTTTCTTTTTTGCTTGGATCTTTTATGTCATATTGTGCCTTGAAGTGAAAGAAGTGGGCCATTGTATCTGGCCTGTTTAAAAATAAACTGCAAAAACAAGGCATCCGCCCTGCTAGCATGCACCAGCCAACTGTGTAGCTACTAGCTAGCAAGGCAGATGAGATGCTTGGTTATCTTCTCCCACCATTAGGTACGGTATTCCTTTTCTAGTGTTTCCAATGCATTTATTTTCTCATTTTCGTGCTTGCAGAAAATCCCCGTGTGCGTCCATGAGTAACGAAACGAAATCTGAAACGAGAGTTGCGCTTTGTCCCATGTTCTTCCAAGCGCGGGTCTATTCTATTCAGTGGTTACGGTTGAGTAGCATGGTGTGCAATCTAGAACGGTCCGATCGTCAACCCCTGTGAACCGCCGCTACTCGAAGCCTGAACAGGGTTTTTTTGACCGGCCCTTGCTTCGATACGGCGGACCTCCCTCAATGCCTCCACCTGGCTGTTGGACCAAGAAATCAGAAGAACCTCAGCAGTCAGGAGGACAATTCTGCCGTGGACCAAGAACAAGTCACACCAGTTCGAGGGCAGTTTTGATGGGAGACCCATAGTTTCGTGGTAGTGGCACCTTAAGACAATCCCGAACACACCTTTCTTGTGTGATTGAAGTACGAAGAGATTTCTTGTTCATGACTCTGGAAAGGAAATGCGATTCGCGGCTCGGAGGGAGCAAGGCAGTGGGAGCTACTTGGAGATTAACTGGCGGCGCGTCGAGGCGTTGGGGGGGAGGGCACAGAGCGGGCCCCGTGCCGCTATACTCTTACGGGTTACGTGACACGTGGCAGCGCGAGAGCGGTCGTCGCACGCCGCTCTCATTCGCTCGCGCAGCAGGTGGCTCGCACGTGAGTCTGTCGCACTTGCTTGGCGCTCTTACGCCCTGTGCTCGTAGCCCTCGCGTCGCATGCTCTTGAGCTCGCGGTCAGAACCGACGGATTCCGTCAAAGGAGGCAATTTCACGATGCTCCCTTTACCCGTCACCGTCACCCTGCCCTTCCGCCGCTCCCATCTCTCCGCTTCTTCTCTTACCCTCTTCGCGCTCCCTTTCGCCCAGTTCCCATCTCATCTCCACGCCTTTCAAAATAGTTTACTGGCCCTCCTTCTCCCTGTTCTCCCCGTTCTCCCCGTTCTGTTCTTTTTTCCTCCCTTCCTTTCCCATTCCCCCTTCCCCCTTCCCCCTCCCTCCTTGCCCCTTGCCCCTTCCTTCTTCCCCTTACCCCTCCCTCCTCCCCTCCCCTTCCCCTTCCCCACCCCACAACCACTAGGCCCTGGTGTCCCGAATCGCCCTGGCCTCAGTCCTCGCCTCGCACCGAGGCTGTGTCAACACAGTCGCCTTCACGCCATCCGGGTCCCATCTCCTCTCGGGCTCGGACGACCAGCGCATTGTGCTCTGGGACTGGGCCGCGGCCAGGGAGGTGCTCAAGTGGCGCTCCCGACGCCTCCGCACCATTCCCTCTTTCCCCTCCCTTCTCACCCCTTCCCTTCTCCCCTTTTCCCTCCCCCTTCCCGCTTCCCCCTTTCCTGCTTCCCCCCGCTCCCCCCCTTCCGCCCTTCCCCTCCCCCGCACCACCCCTCCCAGGCCCTAGTGTCGCGTCTTGCCCTGGCGTCAGTCCTCGCTTCACACCGAGGCTGTGTCAACACCGTCGCCTTCACCCCATCAGGGTCCCATCTCCTCTCGGGCTCAGACGACCAGCGCATTGTGCTCTGGGACTGGGCGGCGGCCAGGGAGGTGCTCAAGTGGCGCTCGGGCCATGGCAACAACGTGTTCCAGGCGCGCGCCCTGCCCTGCGGGAACGACCGGACCATCGTCACTTGCGCCGCTGATGGCCAGGTTGGTTGGTTGGGGGGGGGCTGGGCAGGATTCATGGGGCTGGCTGGTAGGCTGGGGGCAGGGGGAGGGGGAGCGGTTGAGAAGGCTCATTGGTGTTTTTGATTTCGGAAAGCGCAGCAATACACAAACACCAAGCTTATCTCCTCCAAACCCCCCTCTCCCTTCTTCCCTCACCCCTTCTCCTTTCCCCCTTCCACCACCACCCGCACCCCCACGCCAGGTGCGGGTGAGTCTGCTGTCGGAGAGTGCAGCAGTGGGCACGGTGCGCTTGGCGAGGCACAGGGGGCGAGCACACAAGCTGGCCGTGCTGCCGCACTCGCCACTATGCTTCCTCAGCTGCGGGGAGGATGGGGTCGTGCGACACGTGCGTGGGGAGACAGGGAAAAAGGGGGGGGAGGGGGCCCGGGGACTTTGGTTTGTTAATGTGCTGCCGCACTCGCCGCCCTGCTTGCTCAGCTGGGGGGAGGATGGGGTGGTGCGCCATGTGTGTGGCCAGACAGGGGAATTGGAGGGGGGAGGGGGTGGAAAGAAGGGGGGAGAGAGTGAGGATGGCGTGTGTGTGGCAAGGGAGGGTGATTTATGTGGCATGTAGGGTTGATGTGGGATGACATGTGTGTGAGTGGTTGTGTGATGAGGGGTGCCGTGCAGCAAAACACGATATGATATGATATGATATGATACGATACGATACGATATGATATGATTATGATATGATGTGATATCATATGATATGATATGATATGATATGTTATGATATGATCTGATAATGCTATCGTATGATATGATACGATTCGATGCGATGCGATACGATACGATACGATACGATACGATACGATACGATATGATATAATATAATATAATATGATATGATATGACACGGCTAAGTGTCTCGGTCACAAACAACCATCTCATCCGATCATCTCCTTCCTTTCCCTGCCTTACCCCTGCCCCACTCCAGTTCGACCTACGAGCCCCAAAGCCAAGCACGCGAGTCCTAACGGTGACCACCACACCTGCCATGCGAGCACGGCAGCCGCTGCCGCTCAACGCTGTTGCGCACAATCCCGCCCGCCCGCACCTCTTTGCTGTGGGTGGAGCGGACGAGTTTGCCCGTGTCTTCGACTTGAGGAGGTGGGTGTGGGTGGCGAGTGGCGAGTGGCGTGCTAGTGGCTTGGATTCTTGGTAGGTGCGCGTTTGTTCTGGCGTTTCTGTGTCGGTGTTTCTGTGTCTATGTGCGCACGCGCGCGTGTGTGTGAGAGCGGGTTTGTGCGCTCACTGGAGGTCCATCCATGTAGATTGAACCGTCTTGAATGAAGCAAACTCATAGCTGCTGCAGCAGCTGCTGATGCACACACTCACACTCACACTCACACACGCACACACACCCACACCCACCTTCATTCCTCTCCCCATCTCAGGTGCATCGCCCGTCGTGCCGCTCCCACCCCTGCCGCTTGCTCCTGCCCCTCGCCCGTGGAAACATATGCCCCCCCGCACCTCATCAACACAAACCGCGATCGCCTGCGCCCGCCTGTAAACCTCCTATATACCCGAAAGCGTGGCCGTTGGGGATATCTCGTGCACCTGGTGCACTCGCTGTGTGTGCTTGTGTGCAGCAAGTGCGCTTCCCTTCTCCCTTTTCTCCCTTCCCCTCTGTTCTCCTTCCATGTCTTCTTTTCCCTCCTCTCCTCTCCTCTTCTCTTTCCTTCCATTCACTTCTCTCCTCCTACTCTCTCCCACCTTCTTAACCCCTTTCCTCACCTCCTCCATCCTCCCCACATCGGCCCACCCCACCCCACCCGATCCCATCCCATCACCAGGTGCACATCACATGTGTGGCCTACTCGCCACACGACGAGCTGCTCGCCTCGTACAACGACGAGCTCATCTACCTCTTCCACCCACACCACTCCCTCGGCCCTGACCCCCTCTCCATGCCCACTGCCACTCGCACCACTGGCTTCCGGGCTTTAAGTACTGCCACCAGCAGCAGCGGCCGCAACCGAAGCAGCGGCCATGGTGGTGGGGATGGCAGGGGCAGCAGCAGGAGGCGGTTTGTGAGCAGCCTTGGGGGGGATTGGAGTGTTGGAGGCAGGGGCAGCAGAGGGCGAAGTATTAGTGGGGATGGGAGGTTGGGCGGTGGGGAGGAAGGTTGCAGCGGCAGTGGTGGTGCTGCGGCTGCTGCGTCTTCTCCTGCTATGCCTGCTGGTGGTTCGAGCGAAACTCAACCTCCTCCTCCTCGCCGTCTTTCCTGGCTGCAACGTACGTTTCATACTGCCTCAGGCGCAGCGCCTTACACTGCTGCTGCACCTCTTGCTGATGCTACTGCTGCTGATGGTGATTCTGGTGCGTCCCCTGCTGCTGCTACTAGCGCTATTGCTTCTGAAGGTGCTGCAAGGGACGGAAGGGAGGAGGCAAAAGTGTGTGGCAGGGGAGAAGAGGGGAACAGAGGAGCAAGAGAGATGGCCGATAAGAGGAGACGAGAGTGTGACACTACAGGGGATGATAGGGGTGGTAGAGGGGGTGACAGGAAGGAAGGAGGTGAGGAGATGGAGGAGAGCGATGAGAGAGAGAGGGACAAGGGTGAGAGGGACGAGGGGGGGAGGTGGGGCGAGCAGATGCAGGAGGCTCAAGGAAAGATAGGGTACGGGCAGGCGGGCAGGGAAGGGCAAGGGGTAGCACACGTGGCAGAAAACGATGAGGAGGAAGGGGAGGGGGAAGGGGAGGAGGAAGAGGAAGAGGAAGAGGAGGAAGCAGCGGGTGCGTATGGGGACAGGATAGAGGTGTACTCAGGGCACCGCAACGAGAAGACGGTGAAGGGCGTGTCGTTCTTTGGGCCGCGCTGCGAGTACGTGGCGAGTGGGTCGGACTGTGGACATGTGTTCCTGTGGAGGAAGGTCGGCGCACAGCTCGTCGCCATGATGCCTGGCGACGTGCATGTGAGTGCATGGGGAAGCATGTGAGCGGAATGAGTTTCTGAGGCACCTCAAAAGTCGTCTCTCGGGCGGGTCGCATTCCCTTACGCTGAATTAAAACTTGCACACTTCTGGGTTGTAGCCATGATGCCTGGGGGGTTCATGTGCTTGTGAGAGATAAGAGGGCACCTGTGAGCTGTCACTTCATTCTCTCCGCAAGCCAGCTATGCACCATCATTCTCGTATGTTGCCTCATCGCTCTCCTCACCCTCCCTCCCTCCCCTTCCTTCGCTTGCTTTTTCCCCCTCCCTTTCTCTCCCCCACCCCCCCCTTACTCCCTCACTTACCTGCTCCGTCCCCTCCTCCATCCCTCCCTCCCTCCTCCCTCTGTCCTCTCCCCCTACCTCCGCTCCCTCTCTATTCTCAGGTGGTCAATTGTCTAGAGCCCCACCCATCAGCCACCATACTCGCCACCAGCGGCATCGAATCAACGGTCAAGATCTGGGCTCCCACGGCTACATCCCCCAAGGGCCTGCCATCCAACGCACAGAGCGTCATGGAGGCAAACAAGCGGCGGCGCGAGCAGCCCTTTGGCGTGCCCAGAATGGCTGCCGATGTGGAGATCCCGAGGTTGCGCCTGCAGTGCCAGCACGCCCAGCTGATGGGGCAGGACCGGGTGGCAACTTTTGGCAGCTTGCTGGCGCTTGCTGCTGCTGTGGGGAGGCGGGGGGAGAGGAGGGGGGGAGGAGAGGGAGGGGGGAGGGAAGTAGGGAGGGAAGGGGGGAGGCGGGGGAGGGAGGGTGAAGTGGTGGATGAGGGGAGGGAAGGGGAGGGTGCGAGGAGTAGGAGGAGGGTTACGAGTAACGGAGGTGGTGGTGGTGGTGGTGATGTTGGAGATGGGGATGGAAATGATGGTGGTATTAGTAATGGTACCACGAGGAATGGTGGTGGTCGCGACGTGCAAACGTCAGATGCTGAAGAGGGTGCAGCAAGTGTGAGCTTGAGAGAAGCGCTGATTGCAGGACTTGGTGAAAGAGCGGGCATTCGCGACTTGTTTCCCTTTCTGGAGGAGGATTATAGCGAGGATGAGAGTGAGGAGGACGAGGAGTTTGAGGAGGGAGAGGCGATGGAGGAGGAAGATGAGGAGGAAGAGGAGGAGGGTCGCAGGAGGGGGTGGCAAAGGTGGCGAGGGAGAGGGCGGTCAGAGTGTAGAGTGAGTTAAAAGAAGGATGCTTCAGTGTACAGTGTACGGGTGGGAATAAATAGGTGGATGGATGTAGATGTATGTTAATTTTGTCTCCATCTAGAGTCTGTTTTGGAAACATTGTGGTGCATCTACACTGTGTTCCATCCGTAGAAGCCAATACACGTATTGCACCGCGCTAAACGAACACCACACAAGGAACTCTATCCCGCTTTGGTTTCCAGCTTGCTTTTCCCCTGGGGAGACTTTTCCCTCTGTGCGCTTTTCCCTCGACGCTTCTTCTCCAGGGCACTTTTCCCTCACTCCACCTTATTCACTAGCGGTGCCAATTGTTCTGTTCTGACGTGTAACTGTGCTCGGTTCAGATCGTTGCACAGCCCCGAATCGAGATCCATCCAGCACCGTGTGGACTCTCCACTGGATAAAACGAAACCAGGCGTCTATCAATCACCTTGAGCGGTGCCGGGAAGCCCGTTCCTGCCCCCACCAGCATCGTCGTCACTGCGCTAAGCCTGATACTAGGTCCCAGTTTCTTTCCCGAGTTCTCGACGAGTTCTCGCGGAATCATAACCTGCTGATATCTTTTTCGGGCCGCTCGCGATGTCCGCTGCGCGGCTTACACCAAAGCAAGCGCGCAGGCTCATGGCGGCGTGCATGGCGGCGCCGGCGGTCGTTTTCGCGGTTCGGCTCGCCCTCACGGACGACGTGCGCGACCCGTTCCGCATGTACCGCAAGCTCGAGTCCCCCTCCGCGGATGCTGGCGCGGGCGCTGCGCCTCCTAGCTCCGCGCACAGCCTAGAAACAGCAGGCGGAGGCAGAGGGACGGGAAGCTCTTAGACAGGGTAATCTGGCAACGGAATGTACTCAGGTTATCCGCAGGCGCAGCGTGTGCGAGACGAGGCGCGATTGGGGACGACTGTTTGGTTGTCTGGTTGTGCGCTTGAGGATTCTCAGAGGCGGAGGCTGAACCAACTGGTGGAGTGCGACGCGTGTGGAGCACGTGTGACGCGTGTGGAGCACGTGTGACGCCTCTGACGAGTCTCTCCAAGTCACACACATCATCCGTCCAAGTGTTAGTAATCTTAGCGCTTGTGGAGGATAGTGATAGGCTTCTGAAAGGCGGCTGGGTGCAGTAGGCGCTGTAGGAGGCTATTGGTAGGAACGAGGAGACAATGAAGGGGGTTATACTGTACATGGACAACACAACATCTTGGGAAAGGGGAAACGGTGCATTATGGGATGGGTGGGCGGGAGTTCTTTGGAAACGGTCCTTTTTGGAGTTGTTGGAAGCAGGATGTAAGGGGAGAACAGCAGCTTTGCGGAAAGAAGGAAGAGTGAGTTATGTTGGCACAGATGCATTTGTGTCATCTGCCTGACTAGCAGAGGTTGATGTTGTTAAATATACAAACATAAGATAATACAAATGCTGTTAGATTTTACTGTAGTGTTCCTTTATAAGACTCCCAGCCCTCCAAAAATTGTACAATTATTGGAGGGCCAGAATTATTGGAGTCTAGAATTATTGGAGGGTAAGAATTATTGGCGGGTAGAATTATTGGTGTGGATAGGGCCATTCTGAGGGGGTTAGCTGCAGACATAAATACCCTGCTCTGTCATTCCAGTGAATCGATCAATTCTGTCAAAACATATTGTTCTGCTTATTTCACTCTAGGTTGTGTAGGGTTCTTTCCTTAGAGGGTACAACAATCTCTCTCGATAGTCCTTGTACCCCCCCCTTACCTAATCGAACTCACTCATCTAGCTAGTAACTCTAACATGGTATTAAGAGCACAATGCTCCTTAGGACCGAAATTTTAAAAGGGCCCACCACTACTATTTCGACCTGCTGCCCGAGTCGCGCCCCTAGGAGAAACGCGAAATGCGAAAACGTGCCCTAGGCGAGACGGTTCCCTTTTCTGCCTAGACGCGATTTTCTGTTCCTAGTCACGTGCGACCCCCCTGACCGAGCCCTAGCTGCCCCGTGCGCCTCTCGCGCGGCCCGTCAGCCCCTACGCCCGGTCCCCCCCTCGTTCCTGCTGCTGCGCGCGCTACTCACGCTGCCCGCCAGCCCCTAGCACGCACCTGATGCGCGCTCCTCGTAGTGCCGCCCCGCACGCACCTGTTGCGCGCCCCTGGTTTGCACGCCCACAGCCCACGCGCGCCTACTGCTACTACGCGCTGCCCAGCCCGAACTGTCACTGCTGCTGCTACTGACGCTACTGCTGCTACAGCTAGTGCTACTCACTGCTGCTGCTACTGAAGCTAGTGCTGCTACAGCTAGTGCTACTCACTGCTGCTGCTACTGAAGCTAGTGCTGCTACAGCTAGTGCTACTCACTGCTGCTGCTACTGAAGCTACTGCTGCTACAGCTAGCGCTACTCACTGCTGCTGCTACTGACGCTACTCCTGTTACAGCTAGCGCTACTCACTGCTGCTGCTACTGAAGCTAGTGCTGCTACAGCTAGTGCTACTGCTGCTGCTGCTACTACGGCACTTGCTACAGCTGCTACTGACTGAAGCTACGGCTGCTACAGCTAGTGCTACTGCTGCAGCTCCTACTCCAGCACTTGCTACAGCTACTATTGACTGAAGCTACTCCAGCTACAGCTAGTGCTACTGCTACAGCTCCTACTACTGCACTTGGTACAGCTGGTACTGACTGAAGCTACTTCTGCTACAGCTAGTGCTACTGCTGCAGCTCCTACTCCAGCACTTACTGCAGCTGCTCCTGACTGAAGCTACTGCTGCAGCTCCTACTACTTCACTTGGTACAGCTAGTACTACTGCTGCAGCTCCTACTACTTCACTTGCTACAGCTAGTGCTACTGCTGCAGCTCCTACTACTGCACTTGCTACAGCTAGTGCTACTGCTGCTGCTGCTGCTGCTCGGTCTGCTGCTGCTGCCTGAGCCGCCCTGCTACTGCTGCTACTGGAGGGAGTACTGCTGGGAGTGGTGGAGGTGCGGCCTCCCACCCCCACCGAACCGCCCTGCTGCTGTTACTACTGCTGCTGCTGCTACTTGTGCTACTGGGAGTGGAGGAGGTGCTGCTGGGAGTGTAGGAGGTGCTGCTGGCGCTGTAGGAGCTGGAGGTGCTGGACCTACTCCTGACAGTCACTGTCTGTCATGGCCACTTCCGCGGCAGTCGCTGCGGCCAGGGGTGGACAGCAGCGGGCACTGCTTCTCCCGGACGACCCCACCCCTCAGCAGCTTCGTGAGTGGGTTATTCAGCGAGGTCGTCCTGGTGGTGGAGGTTATCGTTATGTTAAGACCGCTGCTCGTGGTGTTAGTGAGTCTGCTGCCACTCCAGGTGTTAGTCAGTCTGCTGCCACTCCAGGTGTTAGTGAGTCTGCTGCCACTCCAGGTGCTAGTGAGTCTGCTGCAGCTCTAGGTGCCCGTGAGTCTACCGACGCTCTAGTTGCTAGTGCGTCTACTACCACAGGTCCTGCCTCAGCTGAGGTCTTGCACACGTTCACGCTTGACTCCGGCGCGTCACGTTGCTTCTTCCGTGATTGCACCACAGTCACACCACTCACAGCACCTGTCCCAGTCTCACTGGCTGACCCGTCTGGGGGCCCAGTGGTTGCGAGAGCCTCCACGGTCCTCCCTTGTCTAGCAGTCCCCTCCGGCTCTTTGTCAGGTCTCCACCTCCCCACGTTCTCGACGAACTTGGTGAGCAACGCTGCCATTCAGGATGTCTGGGTTGATACCTTTATTCCTGGAGGGCAGCGTGTGGCGATCTGTACGTGCTCCCGGACTGGCCGTCACCTGGCTACGTTCACTCGACAGCCTGGGTCTAGTCTGTACACACTGACCACTGCGTCTGCACATGTGGCTGAGTCAGGTCAGGTAGCTACGTCGAGTCGAGCGTCTGCGTCAGGGCAGTTAGCTGCGTCTTGCTCGTGCCGAGTACTCACGCACGAGACTCAGCGCTGGCACCACCGTCTTGGTCACCCCTCCCTGCAGCGTCTGCGCCGCATGCACTCCCGGCTCCTGGTCACTGGCCTCCCTGAGACCCTGCCCCCCCTCCCGCGCTCACTTGCGCCGCCGTGCCTTCCTTGCGTCGAGGGGCGGCAGCGCGCCGCTCCTCACTCCTCCGAGTTTCCTCCGACCACTGCTCCTCTGCAGACTCTCCACATGGACGTGTGGGACCCGGCCCCCGTCGGTGGAACGGACCAGGAGCGCTACTTCCTGCTGGTGGTTGACGACTACACACGCTACACCACAGTCTTCCCCTTGCGGCGCAAGGCGGATGTCAGTGGTGTCTTGATCCGCTGGATCCGTGCTACTCGTCTCCAGCTGCACGAGCGCTTTCAGCAGGACTTCCCAGTCCTGCGTCTGCACTCTGACAGGGGTGGTGAGTTCTCCTCTGGCGTGCTTGAGACGTTCTGCCAGGATGAGGGCATCCGCCAGTCGTTCACGCTTCCGGCCTCTCCGCAGCAAAATGGGATCGCTGAGCGTCGCATTGGCCTGATCATGGAGGTTGCTCGTACCTCCATGATCCATGCGGCTGCTCCTCATTTCCTGTGGCCGTTTGCGGTCCGATACGCCGCGCATCAGCTCAACCTCTGGCCCCGTGTCTCTGCTCCAGAGACCTCGCCCACACTCCGTTGGACGGGACAGCCTGGTGATGCATCGTCGTTTCGGGTCTGGGGCGCGCTCTCCCTTGTTCGCGATACCAAAGCGAGCAAGCTCTCCCCTCGCACTCTCCGCTGTGTCTTCCTGGGCTTCCCCACCGATGCTCCACCCTGGCAGTTCTACCACCCTGCCTCGCGTCGTGTTCTGTCCTCTCAGGATGTCACCTTTGACGAGTCGGTCTGTTACTACCGACTTCACCCGCACGCGTCCCACCCGGTCCCTCTCGCACCTCTCTTCCTGGTACCAGTCCCCCCCCCGGTAGACCCCCTTCCCCCACAGGGTCCTGCTCCCTCAGGTGTGTCCCAGGTAGACCCACCCCCCTTGGATGAGCCAGTTGAGATCTCTTCTGACTCCTCTGACTCACCTGAGGGGGGTGACGCCGTCGCCGACGACACGGCGACCACTCGCCGCACTCCTCGCTTGGAGACCCCCCCGGGTTTCCCGCCACGGCCGTCTTCGCCGCCTCTGCAGCCTGCTGCTGTGGACACTGGAGCAGAGACTGAGGGTACTGAGCCTGGGGGTGCTGGGACTGAGGGTACTGAGCCTGGGGGTGCTGGGACTGAGGGTACTGAGCCTGGGGGTGCTGGGACTGAGGGTACTGGGCGTGAGGATGCTGCGACTGAGGGTCCTGAGCCTGCGAGTGCTGAGACCGAGGGTGCTGCCTCTGGGGGTGCTTCGAGTTCGAGTGCTGACTCTGGGGGTGCTGCGAGTCCTTCTGGTGTTGGTGTCGTCGGAGCTCCTACCGGAGGACCTGGAGCTACTGGTGCTGGAGGTACTGGAGGTACTGCTGGTGCTGGAGGTCCTGGAGGTGCTGCTGGTGCTGGAGGTCCTGGAGGTGCTGGAGGTACTGGAGCTGCTGCTGGTGCTGGAGGTCGGGGAGCTGCAGGTGCTGCTGGTCCTGGTGGAGCTGCTGGTGCTGGAGGTACTGGAGGTGCTGCTGGTGCTGGAGGTCGTGGAGCTGCTGGTGCTGGAGGTACTGGAGGTACTGCTGGTGCTGGAGGTCGTGGAGCTGCTAGAGCTGCTGGTGCTGGAGGCGCCGAAGCTGCTGGGGCTGGAGGTGCTGGAGGTGCTGGAGGTCCTGGTGGAGCTACTGGTGCTCTTCGCCACCTTCTCAGTCTTCAGCCAGGTGCTACTGGCTTCCCTGTGGCAGGTACTACTCCTCCGTTGCTGTGTCCACCGGCGGACCAGTCACAGCCGCCGC